CACATGGCTGCCGAAGTCTGCAGCTCAGACAGCAAGGGAAAGAGGTGAGGAGAAGGCAGGGAGGGAGATCAGAGAAATCTGTAGAAGAGGATTGAATTACTGTCGGATCACAGGGTGTGGGAGACTCTGGGACAGATTGATGGGAGAGCCTACCCGGCTGGCAGGGACCTAAGAACTGTCACAGATGGCTGTGCTGAGCCAGCTGCCTTGCTTGTGCGTGCAGAGCACAAGCTAAATGGGAGCAAGACATCTTAACAGTTACCAAAACACCCAGCAGTATATCAGCCCACCTAACTGGAAAACAAAGCAGGCCTTTGGACTCCAAATCCCCCAGGCCAAAGCCGTATCTACAATGTTATCCAGTGTCTTGCTTCACAGGGCATGTCTCTATCAGTCTTTCAACAAACACCTATTAAAAGCTTCTAAATGTCAGGGCTGGCTGTGCTAGGTGCTGGGGATGTGAAGGAAATATGCACAGTACACCCCTCTAAGGGTCTCACCACCTAGTAAACAATTATAAAAGAGGGAAAAAATGCAGTAGGAGCTGGGGTAAAAGAGAGCACAAGTACTACAGGAAACAGGCACCAGCTTATGTTAAGTTGTTATGTAAAGCTAAAGAATATTTATCTTCAAACATGCATGAACCACTCTTCAAATTCCACCCAACAGTTGTCTCTCATCCAATCCAGGCTCATACCTATGACCTCAGCATGGTAAAAATATCCCCCATGGCCCTTAAGGTCTAGTAATAATTTAATGTTTTGTTTTTCTCTGTATGTCCTCTGATGTGTTTTCATATCTCGGATGTCTTTCTTTTCGAGGGTGTTATTTACTCTGGTTGGTAGGATATGATATTAAAAGGTCAAGGCTTTAATTTTGTGGAACATTTAGCTTCATTTGGAAAGAGAATTAAGCCCCCACGATCAGAGGTTTACCCCTCAATCTAAGCCAGAGGCTTAGCAAATGTGGACTGTGTCCCTTGCTTACTGGGGCCAGAGCAAGAGACAAAAAGAGGTTCGCTCCATTCAAACCCATCGTCATTACCAGATATTATGGCATTGACAGGACACAGCCATTACGTGGTTTGGCAGCGTTATTGTGCTCATAAATAATGGTAAATATGAGCGTGTGTGTGTGTGTGTGTGTGTGTGTGTGTGTGTGTGTGGGCATGTGCACGTGCACATGTAACGTTTTGCAGTCTCCTTGAGGGCAGCGATAATAGTAATTACTATGAACGGACATGCATAACCCCAGATACTGACAAGGCACACTCCCTCATATCTCTCATGTCTGTGCTCAGCATCACCTCCTCAGAAAGCCCTTCCCTGATCACGACTAGAATGTAAAGTCACTGGGATTTTTGTCTATTTTGTTCACTGTCCACAAAATTAAAGACCTGAACTTTTAAAATGTCATATTCCACTGGGTACATTAAACAACAGTCAAGAAGAAAGATGTCCTATATATAGGATGAATAAACAACAAGGTCCTACTGTATAGCACAGGGAACTATATTCAATATCCTATAACAAACCATAATGGAAAAGAACATGCAAAAGAATACACGTATGTAACTGCATCAATTTGCTGTACAGCAGAAACTACCACAGCATTGTAAATCAACTCTACTTCAATAAAATAAGTTAAAAAAAAAAAAAGAAAGACAACCAAGACGTGAAAACAGAGAATCTACACGGAAAATAACACAATCATTAAATTGTTGCTAGACCTGAATGGCCTGGGGATAGTTTGACCCTGTTGAGGTCATGGATATGAAACTAATGGGACAAGAGAAAACCGTTGGACGAACATAAGGGAAGATGTGGCATCTGAAGAGTTGTTTATGTGGCTGAGGACAATCACGAAGTCTTTGGCTTCACATCACAACTTACATGAAATGGTGCTACCTTCTGGGTGCAGCTCCTAGAACAGTGCCTGCCACATAATAGCCACTCAGTAACTTCTTATTGAATGTCAAGTGCTCTTCAATGAAGTTTTTATTTGTTTCCTGTCATTTAATTTTGTAAAAAGGTAGTATGTTGACATAGTTCAACATTCATTTTAGTGTAAAAAGGTAACACAAGGCCTTGTTCTTACCCTATTCTCTGCCTGGCTGGTTCCCACCCAGCAACCATGTCCTGTAACCATTTTTATTACTTTCCTTCCAGACTTTGTTTATGCAAATCAAATATAACTATATTTTTATTTTATTATGCAAAAGATAACATACTATCTACTCTGATATTAACCTTGCTTTTTTTCATTCAATAATATAAGTTGATGAATGGGTAATGTGGTATATTTATACAATAGAATATTATTCTACCATAAAAAAGAAGGAAATTCTGCCATTTGTGATAACATGGATGGACCTTGAGGGCATCATGCTAAGTGAAATGAGTCAGACAGGAAAGACAAATACTGCATGATTTCATTTATATGGGAAATCTAAAAAAAAAAATCGTACTCATAGAAACAGAGAAGAGGTTGGTGGTTGCTAGAGGCTGCGGGCAGGAGGGAGAAACTGGGGTGAAGGCAGTCAAAAGGTACAAACTTCTAGTTCTAAGATAAGTAAGTTCTAGAGGTAGAACTAGAACTAGTTCTAGAACTAGAACTAGTTCTAGAACATATAGCATGGTGACTATAGTTAACAATACTGTATTGTACATCGGAAAGTTGCTAAGAGAGTAGATCTTAAAAGTTCCCATCACAAGAAAAAATAATTGTAACTATGTGAGGTGATGGATGTTAACTAAACCTATTGTAGTGATCATTTTGCAATACATATGTACATCAAATAATTATGTTGTACATCTTAAACTAATACAATGTTATGTCAGTTGTTTCTCAATAAAATGGAAGGGAAAGATATAAGTTGGAGATCCTTCAAGTTCAATTTGGTGTCTTCAATTTTTTTTTTTTTTTTTTACAGTTCCAGTCAATTCTACTGTTTAAATGTTCCACAGTTTATTAAACCAGCCCATGTGGATGGACACTTGTGTTGTTTCCAGTCTTTTGCTATTAAAAAACAAAAGTACTCTATACCATATAACAGTATAAATTCCCAGAGATAGGATTGCTAGGTCAAATAGTTTATGTCTTGGTAATTTTATATACATATTGCCAAATTGCCTTCCAAAGGGGTTATGTAAATTTAAGTCCTCACCAGCAATGTAAAAAAAAAAAAAAAGTCTGTCTCCCCACCACCTTGCCAACAGAGTTTTATCAAACTTAGAATTTTGCTAATCTAGTAAGTAAAAAATAATACCTCAGTATGTTTTTTATTTCCATTTCTCTTGTGACACAGAGCACCTCTTTATTTCTATGAATGGATACTTCATACCTTTCTTATGTTTCTGTTAGGTTAATCGTCTTTGTATACTTGGCTTATAAGAAGCACATTACATATAGGGAGATTAGCCTTTCTCTGTAATGTGAGTTTCAAAATTTTTTTCCAGTGGTGTGTTGGTTAGTGTTTAGTAATGGTCTCTGGGGAAAATAAATCCTGGTTTATAGCATTTGCCAAGTTCCATGATGTAAATATTCCCACCACAGCCAGTTTCAAGCTACCAACATATCACTAAATGTGGAGTTGGGGAGAAACGTGCAACACCAGGCCATTATGTAATATCTCCATGATACAGACACAACAGATGTAAATCACTCCAAGAGCATGGATGATAGCAAAATGTAGTTAAACAATTAGAGTGATGAGTCTTTGAGCATATATTACCTTTGTTTCATTCTTTATTTAATTATAAGTTTATATAACTTAATTTTAAATAATGGCTGTGGTTGACAACCAGCTTGCAAAATTTCTAAAATTTAATAATCAGCTCCTGTGAGCCAGTGCAGGCCATCTCCAACACCCCACTGCCTTTTATTCTATTTGTTTTCTGACTTTTTTTTTCAAATGATGTTTTTCATCATGCAAAGGTTTCATTCTGGTAGTTTTATTTATCAGTCATATTATTTATGAGTTCAGGATATTAAGTAACGGTTAGGAAGACCTTGCCCATTCCAAGATTATAAAAGAGTTTTACCATGTTTTCTTCTGACACTTTTATGGTTTCACTTTTATGTTTAAATCTTTAATCCATTTAGAGTATATGCTAGTGTATGGTGGGAGATGCGGCTCCTACATGCAGTTTTTCCATCCAGTTGTCTCACAAGAGGTGCTGAATAGTCCGTCTTTTCCCACTGATTTGTAAAGCCATCGTTATATGATGCAGCTTTCTTGATTTTAATGAACGTGGTACTTATCATTATTTGAATGATGTTTTAATTATGATTATAGTTTATAAGCAGCTTCCCTGTGTCTGCTCATTTGATTCTTTAACCTATAGTGGTAGGTTTGGTAGATTATAATAGCTACCATATTTTCATGCCCAGCATACTTTCCCATCCTCTGTCTCTTGAATCCTTTAGGGAACTCCCCCTTCATGCAATGTGATCCTGGAGAGATGGTCAATTATGGTACACTGGCCAAATACTGTGTTATATATGCGACCTAGGCTGGCCAATCCAAAAATCCCAACCCACGGTAATAGGCTAGGGTTTGGACATCTGACCTGAGCAATGCAATATAATCTTCCTTGGGAATGATATTTGAAAAAGATTTTCTGTTGGAATTGTTAAGCTGGGAGATACGTTCTTTAGATCTTCTTAACTGACACATAAATTAAAACTATCTGAGAAAAAGCCAAACAAAAACAAGCAGAGCTAAGAAATGGAGAGCCAAAAAGTTTTAAAGGCATCATTTGGGTCTTTGTATCCAGCCTTGCTCCAAAGCCAATGCCCTTGGACAACCAGGAATAAAAGCCTACAAATTCCTTTTTTTATTTTTAACTTACGTTCATGTGTTCAATATGGCTTCTTATAATTTGCAGTCAAAAGAGTTCTAACCCTCTTCAATAGATATTACTGTTCCCACAAGAAACAGAGGCTGGTAGAGATTAAATTCAATCAGTGTTAACGTGCTTCCCACTCTTTGCTCTTACCTTCTGGGACCCGTCCTTCCAGCACTGGCAGCTCCTCTCTTTGTGTACTGTATCCCAAAGATTTTCTGGTGATGACTGGGAAGAAAAGCCATATTAATGTATGGAGGCTGCTTACTATCTTCTAAAACAGTTAAGATTCTAAATTAGATCTGTTCTCTTCCTCCTCATCAGACTTTCTTTTCCTGTAGCAAGGTGAAAATCTCCCTGACCTGACTTCTCAATATGATCAAGGTTTTGGCTTTATCCTTGGTATCTTTGGCTGGAAAGGTATAAAAGCTCATTATCCAATGATGTCACATTCAAATCAGCCTCAGAGCGTCTTTTCATATTGCGAGGATAAATTTGATTTTCTAAAGTCCCTTTATAATTGGGAATATCTTTATACTATCTAGAGTAGAGTATACCTTAAAAACATTCTGAGTTAGAACCAGGTCCTCTAAGAATTCTCCTTCCTATGGAACAGCTAATACTTAGAGCTTCACAATTAGAAATGTTATACAGACTTCTGTTAAAATGCAAACAGCCCCTGGACAGGTTTGCACTCGAGTCTTATTGGCTATGTGCACTTTAATGTGAATTCATTTAGCAGATTGGAACATATTTTCACTGAGGCAGTAGGAGGCAAAGGAGGATAAGTAGGCAGAGAAGAAAAAGGAGAGGAGAGGCAGGGGATACTAATGATAGGAGAAAGAGTGAAGAAATGGAGAGGTGAAGACAATTACTAAAGGCTTTCCTCCCAAGTCACTTCTGAGATACAGCTGTGAACCACAGTCAGGGTTAGGACAAGCTGATATGACAGCTACCATTAGGAATGAATTGAATTAGATTCTCTGAGCTCTGAGGGGAGGATCTAATTCAGCACTAGAACCAGCCATATCATTATCTTCACCTTGGTCATTTTTGGCATCGCTCAAGACCCTTCATGAGCTGGAATTAATATGCATCCAGAAGTCAGACCCAACCATCTGTAGCATGTAACTGCAGCTGTCCCACACTGTCAGCAAGCACCAACTCCTTGAGCAATTTACTACCTGGACAGAAGTTCATTTCATAAGCTTATCTGTTCTCAACTGTCATCCAATAACCTAGTGGATTCCTCATCTATAAAATTTCAACTCTCCAAGCAAGTTCCTGTTCCAAGCCTCCTTACAGTGGCTCAGAGTGTCTTTGCTCCACCATTTTTTAGTAACTACACACACCTTCACTTAGGTTACATGCCAAGTGCTCTGATGCTCTTTGGTGAAAGTCCAAGTGAAGGCAAAACTAGGTTAAAGAAAAGACTTCAGCAAAATGGCAGCCTAGGAAGCTCCAAGTTTTCATTCCCCAACAGAAATGTTTTTTAAAAAGGCAGAAACTGTCTGAACCAATCTTACCGGAGCTCTGGAAAACACTCAAAGTTTTGAGCCACCAAACAAATACCCAATCAAGAAAAAGCCATCTTGGGGCTTCCCTGGTGGCGCAGTGGTTAAGAATCCACCTGCCAACGCAGGGGACACGGGTTCAAGCCCTGGTCTGGGGAGATCCCACATGCCGCGAAGCAACTAAGCCCATGCACCACAACTACTGAGCCTGCGCTCTAGGGCCTGGGAGCTAGAACTACTGAAGCCCACGGGCCTAGAGCCCGTGCTCTGCAATAAGAGAAGCCACCACAGTGAGAAGCCCGTGCACCGCAAGAAAAAGTAGCCCCTGCTCGCCGCAACTAGAGAAAGCGCGTGCGCAGCAACGAAGACCCAATGCAGCCAAAGATAAAATAAATGTAAAAAAAGAAAAGAAAAGAAAAGGCCATCTTCAAAACAGTAGGAAAGCTCTGTGGCATTTTTAGTTACACTTACTCCACCCTTCCCCAGCATGGCAGTGGTTTTGGTCTTGAAGTGGTGGCAACCTGGTTTCCAGTATCATTCCTCAAACTAGAAGAAGCAGAGCAGAAATTATTTGCAAATTATTGTGTACATTTAAACTGTCCGGTGGATACCTGAAGGACTGACACAAGAGCCTGTCTCTGTTATGTCTAACTCAGAAATCAGGTGGTAAAAGTGGTGGACACTACTCATAAAACTTGCAAATGACTATAGCCCCACAGACTCCTGGAGCAAGAAATTATAGGTGGAAACATACAATAGACCTTCTAAGGTGCAGAGGACAATCTGGGGTAAGACTGGGAATCTAGGACATTTGAAAGCAGCCAAAAATATGGGGGGATTGAGGAAGCCATATGCACACCCAGGCAAGATGCATGCTCAGAAAAATGCTGAGAAGACCTTAAGATTTTACCTGACTGATTGCTAGCCTCAGAACTAGCCTAGCTAAGTACTGAAGGAATGCCCTAGTACAGAGCCAATCTGCAAACACTGGAAGAGTTCCTGGCACTCAAGAAAATTTCTATCAAAACATCTGATTTTGAGCTGAATGTGAGCTAAAGGAACAGAGATTTCAGTGATCACATGTGACCAGCAATAGCCTCTGCAAAAATAGTTGGGAAATCACTCAAAACAAACAGACTATTACAGCCTTCAACAACAATAACAACAACAAAACCAGCAAACCCTGGGAAAGGGGAAGAATGTGATTTCCAGAGTCATCATATATATATATATATATATATTTGGCCATGCCCCTGACATATGGGATATTAGTTCCCCATCCAGGGACTGAACCTGCACCCCTGCAGTGGAAGCATGGAGTCTTAACCACTGGACCACCAGGGAGGTCCCCAGAGTTACCATATTATAGTAGTTAAATATCCAATTTTAAGCAAAAGAAGATTGCAAGGCATAGACAGAAATGGGCAAACATTCAAAGGAACAAAATCAATTCACAGAAACCATTCCTGAGGAAGCCCAGACATCAGACTTACTAGATAAAACTTAAATATGCTCAAAGACCTAAAGGAAAACATGGATAAGGAACTAATGGAAACCAGGAAAAATCATTTATAGATAAAATGAGAATATCAACAGAAATTATAAAAAGGAACCAAACAGAAATTTTGGAGCTGAAAATTACAATAATTGAAATAATGGCAAAACATCTCAACTTTGATGAAATAAATAAACCTACAACTGTAAGAAGCCTGATGGACTCCAAATAGGATAAACTCAAAAAGACCCAACCAAGACATATAAGCAAACTGTCCAAAGATAAAGAGAGAGTCTTAAAAGCAGCAAGAGAAAAGTGAATCATCATCACGTACTAGGGATTCTCAATAACAATATCAGCCAATTTTTCACAACAAACCCTGGAGGCCAGAAAGACATGGGATAAAATCTTTAAAGTACTGAAAGATAAACCTGTCAACCAAGAATTCTATAGCTGGCAAAACTTGCCTTCAAAAATAAACGAAGGGCTTCCCTGGTGGCGCAGTGGTTGAGAGTCCGCCTGCTGATGCAGGGGACGTGGGTTCGTGCCCCAGTCTGGGAGGATCCCACATGCTGTGGAGCGGCTGCCTGTGCTCCACAACAGGAGAGGCCACAGCAGTGAGAGGCCCGTGTACTGCAAAAATAAATAAATAAATAAATAAAAATTAAAAATATAAACGAAAAATTAAGACACTCCTAGATAAACAAAAGCTGAGGAAACTGATTACCACTAGGCTTGCCCTACCAGAAATGCTAAAGGGAGTCCTTCAGGCTAAAATGAAAGGGTGTTATTCAGTAACTTGAAGTTGTATGAAGAAACAAAGGTCTCTGATAAAGGGTTTAAAAGAAAAAATGCATAAAGAATAATTATAGAGCTATGTTATTGGGCACTGTTATGGGTGGTATTATGTCCCCCCACCACCACCAATTAATAGTTGAAGTCCTAACCCTCAGTACCTCAGAATGTGATCTTATTTGGACATAAGGTCATTGCAGATATAATTAGTTAAGATGAGGTCATACTGGAATGGGTGGACCCCTAATCCAATATGACTGCTGTCCTTATAAAAAGGGGAAATTTGAGACAGGCATATGGGGAGAATGCTATATGAAGATGAAGGCAGAGATCAGGGTGATGTTTCTACAAGCCAAGGAACAACAAAGATTTTCAAGAGACCACCTGAAGCTAAGTAAGAGGCATGGAACAGATTCTCTCTCACAGCCTCAAAAGATAGCAACTTGCTGACATGTTGATCTCAGACTTCTAGCCTCCATACCTGTGAGACAATAGATTTCTCTTATTTAAGTGATCCAATTTGTGATAATTTTTTAGAGTAGCATTAGGAAACTATTATAGGCACATAATACATAAAGATGTAATTTGTGACATCAATAACATAAAGTGGCAGGGGAAGACAGAGCTATATAGGAGTAGAGTTTTTGTATGCAGTTGAAATTAAGCTGGTGTCAGTTCAAATTAGGTTGTTATAAATTTAGGATGTTAAATGTGATCATGATTATAGCCACAAAAATATAGCTAGAGAATATATACAAAAGGAAATCAAAATGTGTGACTACAAAAAAAAATCAACAAAACACAGAAGAAAGCAATAATGGAGTAAATGAGGAACAAAAAAGCTAACAGACATACAAAAACCAAATACCAAAATGATGGAAATAAGTCCTTCATTATCAGTAACTGCTTTAGATGTAAATGGATTAAACTCTTCAATCAAAAGGCAAAGGCTGGCAGAACTGATTTAAAAACACAATCCAACTATATAATGTCTAAAACAGATTCACTTTATATCCAAAAACACAAAAGGGCTGAAAGTGAAAGGGTGGAAGAAGATATCCCATGCAAACAATAATCCAAAGAGTGCCAGGGCGGCTATACTAGTTAGACAAAATAGACATTAAGTCAAAGACTGTTACAAGAGACAAATAAGGTCTATCTAAGATATTATATATCTATAAAAGGGTCAATTCATCAGGAAGATATAATAATTATAAGCATAGATGCACCAAACAGCAGAGCCAAAGACTATATGCAGAAAACCTTGACAGAATTGAAAGGAGAAATAGTCCTTCAAAAATAGTTGGACACTACAAACCCTACCTTCAGTAATGAATAGAACAACCAGACATAAGATTAATAAGGAATAGAGGGCTTAAACAATACCATAAACTAAATATATATGTATATATATACATATATAT